ACGAAAATTGTAAGAAGAAAGAAAATGATGTTTTTAAAAAAAGAAAAATATGATGAAAAAATCTAAAGGAGATCTTTATATTTTAAAAGATCATTTCCGATCAGCATAAAATCGTAACAATATCTTTCTAGTTTTTTTTTTAAAAATTATATATGTATCCCATCTATTCATGATGGTTTTTTTTCAATGTTTTTGACTCTTTTCCTTTACAATCCCACATAAGTCATAGGATGCAATGGAATGAATTTTATCTTTTATTCCATGTAAATGGTAGATTTTTCGTGGTATGCACAGGAATGAGGTATTCCACTTGATTTTATCCCATAAAATGACAATCCAGTTGCACCCTAAGCAATCACATCTATTTTTTTTTTTTGTGAAATTTGGTTTATATCTCTAGATTCAGGTTCAACCCAACGGTTCAAACGTGTGATGAAGCTACCTGAAAACAAGCAATAATAATATTTCAATTCTTAAAAAAGTTGATATGTTTGGCAAAATAAAAGATTTAGAATTTCATATGAAAAAGATATGGTAACAGAATTGGAAAACCTGTTTATCCCAAACAGTTTTTAGAGTCATTATAGTAAGCACACAAGTTTGAACGAAAATTCCAAAGAGCATTCCTAACCACACTCCCTGGAATTTAGAGGAAAAAGGATATTTTATCTTATATTAATTAAACCTTAAAATTTTATAGTCAATAGAATAATTCTCCAAAGAAAAAGTTAAAAAGAGACTAAAAATGTAACATTTCGCAAGTAATCATAATGACAAAAAGGCCTGATTACCTTGACTTGCAAACCGATGAAATAGCCAAGAAAAACACCAGAAGGAATTCCAACAAGGTAATAACAAGCAAGGTTAACGTAAGTGACATATTCTTGCCATCCCCTCCAACCGCAACTCCTGTTCCGGTTTAAACCAGTTCAAAATATATGCTAGTTTAATTAACGATCAATTGTTATACATTAAATTTGCAATACATGATCCTATATGTACCGTATTCAGAAACCCAAAACTACTCAAATATTCGACTAAAATTATTAGCAAAAAAAAAAAAAATCGACTAAAATAGTTCATTACCTAAAACTACTCAAATATCATACGAAACATTCAATATATCAAAGACACGACCAAACTCTCTCTATATATAGTTAGATTTTTTTAGGTACCCATGATATTTTTAAAATTTATTACTAATCGGAAACCAGACAAAATACATGAAAGATTTTCGAGAAACGATTTATATATCTATCAATTTTTATAAGTGAAGTATCAAAACCAATTGAAAATGGGTAAAGTTCAAACATTCTTAATGTAAAACATATTAAAGTGAAGAGTGAAGATACCAGAGAGAACAGGTTGAACACTGTTCAAGAGGATGGAGAAGGCCAAGATTGGAGAGAGATCAGCTACTTGTGCAGCAACGGCTTCACTTGTTGTGAAAATGAATGAAATCTTTCCTCTTAAAAACAAAAAGACGAAGAAGAATATAAACCCTATGGAAAGTGACGTCAAAACTGCTGTGAGTGTTGCAAACTTGGCTTCCTTCGCATTTCCACGTCCAATCTCGTTTGACACTCTTACACTATACATGCATCATTTCCAAAATACGAAAAATTAAGAGAAGATAGTTTAATAAGAAAAATTAAGAGAAGATAGTAAAATAAAGCATCAATAAATAATCATACACTTAAGAGTTCTCAGTGTAGTAAGA